GGGCAACGGGCTTGGTCAAATTAGCGGCCGAAATTGCGTTTAGGGGTGTTTTGTACCCGGTATTGGGAAATGGTAATGCGAGACTGTGATTCTTCGGGTCGTTCTTTAAACCCGCGACAGTTTATGGAAACTCGGGCAGAGTGTCGAGTAGAGAAGAGTTTAGATCGAGAAAGACTTCGATTCGGCCTATAAGAGAGGTTTGCCTTTCGTCTTGAGGACAGTTCGTGCTTAGCTTTGGAAAGATCTACATGTAAAATAGGTTTGGAATAAACATCCTGAGTAAAGTTGATCACGTTAGACCACCTCCTACAAAAGTTAGAAAGGAACGAGATATTACTGTCAGAACTGTGACCTAGGGTCGTGTATCCTGTGCTTTAAAAATGATCGCACATTTCGTCAGATTGTCAAAGGGCTGAGAAGGAAGAATGGAAAGAAATATTCCAAATTGAATTCTGAATTTTCCGATTAACAGAACCTGTAGACTTTAAATATAACCAGCTCTGTTATAAGAAAAAGTATTAAAATAGTACTTTATTAATACGACTCGTCGTGAGACGCGAGGATTCGCAGGAATATATTCGTCTGGTGGGTATTATAGATCTCACCCGGAATGGTCAGCCGTCTCTCGTGTAATTTCCTTGAGAACTTTCCACCGCGTTCAATTACAATTAAATTTTGATAACCATGGTTCGCGACGAATGCGGCTAATAACTTCAAAGACATTATCGAAGTTCGATGGAACGGTGTCGGAGTGAGCACGTCGGTGGCCGTCACACGCCGAATTGGAATTGCCGCGATTCATTTCGTCCGGCACACTTCGCGGTGGAAGGTAAACTCGGTCTACGAGCCGCTTTCGGAAAAGTAGCTTCCACCACGAAGAGAGAGGATCGAATTTAATATGATATCGGTGATACTACTTTCCGGGGCCCGTAATTAAAACTCTTTAATCGTCTTTCTCAGAGGACTCCTTCTCTCGATGAATATTAAGCTCGTTCTCCTATCACGTTATATCACGCCACCTAACGCTATAACAGGCACCGTTCGATCATAATTGTATGAAAAACAGAGAGATCGTGGAGTATCTCGAAACCGTATGAACATTCAGACTGCTCTAGACTGTGATTTTAAGCATGAAAATAATTGAAAACTTTGCCTCAGAAATGAAAAAAAAAAAATGAAGATTTTCAGGAAGTAAAAGGAACCTCCCAAAAATCAAACATTCGATCTTTTTGTTAAGTTTATCGTTTCAAAAAAAGCACTCTCCACTTTCTTTACAATAACTCTACTAATGATAGGGTTAAAAAAAGGGGGAGACGATCAGTTTCTGCACCGGAACCTTCAATTACATTTAATTTTACTTCACCACAAAGGTCAGTCTGTATACCTAACACGAATTTCTAAAAACTTGTCATTTCACACGAGGTGGTTCAAGTACAACTCAACCGCAAGCTCAAACGATTAAACTCGTTCACACGCGCAACAAACACCCCGCGTCCGAAATTTTTCCCAATTACACGTACGAGCCGTATCACGAGAACATCAAGATACAGGCTCTGGTTGATTCGTTTTCGCCTGGCCAGCCGTTAATTCCACCGCTAACACCCAAAATCTCGCCAGCACCTATCCATTACATTATTACCACCTACGCCCGGCTCTCTATCATTATGCATACATAAGACGTGTTGCATCGCTCCGTATCCTCCCACCACCGGCTATAATCATATTATGGTATATCCACCACGCAATGGCTCGTATTACACCATAATTTTCCGCCCACGCGGCTTCGACGTCGGTTTCGCACATCATCGGCCCGTCGAACACTTCGGCGGAACAACACAGAGCCGGGGCGACGTTGCATAAGGATGAAAATAGCGAACGGGCGCGAAAGGGGTAATCGATCGTCTGGAAGCCACGATAGGACGTGGACAAATGATTCGATACTAACCTGCTGGTTCAATATGTCCCACGTTTGAAGCTGCAACTCGGCTTCTTGGTTCCGCGAGGTCGGCCTCGGTTGTGCGTCCTTCTGCACCAAATAGAGCGGCCTCGAGCCACGTATGGCGTCGTGATCCGGCAGAACTCCCGCCGCCGAGACTGGCTCCTCCGCGTGGTACTGCCAAATCACCTGCATCGTGTCGTTCTGAAAGAAAACCAAGAAGAGAACGATTGTAAAGTTTGGAAGGTAGCGGCAAGAGTCTGAGAAGAAGGTAGAGAGGTCTAGTTGACCGATCGGTATATAAACGAGAGAGAAGAGGAACGTTCTTCGTTTTTGTTATCGAAAAATATCGATAAGGACGGCTTACGGAGGCACAAAGGCCCGGCCTTTTATACCCGGCTTGCTATAAAAGTCGAAGCCTTCGGGTTACCAGAGGAACGAAGGGTACGGGGGATAAAGCACAGAGAGGTTTAGGTGGGGTTGGAAACTCTCTTCGTGCTTTCACGTTCAAATTTCGCAGGAATATTCTCAGAGTCTCTCTCTATCCCTGGTCGAAGGACAGAGGCGCACTGGACCGAGAATTTTTAATTTAACCCTTTTTATTTCGCAATATCCCTCCTCCGAGGCCCCTTCTCTACGTAGTTGCTACGGAATCACGTATTGCAGTTTCGACGGAGCTAGGTCGAAAAGGGGGAAAAAGCGTTCCCGTGTTACGTCGCGTTAACCTGTGTCCTATTATCGAAGACTCTGCGCGCCTCGTCGCTTTCAGGCTTAACTTCCCTCCTCCATGGTGTATATATACCCTCTCTACGTGCTTCCCCAAGTAACGCCCCTTATTTTTGGTTAGAACGGAATCGAGCATAAGTTGATTAGCCCCGAAAGATGGTAACAGAGTAGCGAATAACATGGAATCGAATGAATCGAGACCGTGTCTGCGAACGGGAACAATATCGAATCCCTTCGACTCGTTCGGGTGGAATTTATCTCGATTCGATTATACGAACGAGGCTGAAATTAGATAGGTGCCTACCGCCGTAGTCCAATCTCGCCGTCTTTTCCTTCGAATTAATATTCCACTGTTCAACGAACAACCAAATCATCCTGTTATCGACCATACACCATCTAGCTGAAATTAATTAATCCGCAGATTCGATTGCTCGCTACCTTGCATTCGTTGTTGCACGCGAAAGAATCGACCCGCGGGAAGACTCGATATATGTGTATGGGAATATACGACGTGTATCGTAACTCGGCTGGATCGAGCGTGTGTGTGTGGACCGAAACGCGTTTCTCGATAAATATGTCCACCGGTTAATCCGGCTAGTCAGTGTCACGAGAGTTCTGGCTGATCCCGAATCAAGGACGGCGACCAAGCCGATTCATTTGCGATTCACCTCTCACTCTCCGCGGAGAGACGGTTTTCGCGACGTTATCTTCCCGTGGAAACGTTGTATTTACCTGGCTGGCTGGCGTCAGGCCAAGCACAAAATACTGTATGCTTCGTTTTATACGGCGGCCGGCGAAATTAGTGCCGGGCCGCGTTCGTTGTGGCTTTTTCGATTAAATCGCGTATGAAATCCGCGCGCGTGCACACTCGTACCAACTTTCAACCGCGATGGAACTCGAAAGCACCCAGAGTCGAGCTATACGTTTTCAACTGCTCGCGTTTACCGTGCCTCTCTCTCTCTCTCTCTCAGCTAGACAACGTTTTATACCTGTGTCTAGTGTAATTAAAAAATATCCTGTCCGGAGCGTGGTGAAACTCGTTTAGAACGTTCGTAGACAAGGGGTTAGGTAACTCTTCTGAAGATGACTTGCATCGCAGGAACTGTCTGATGCGTTTCGAGTAACGAATTACATCGTAGTCACCTGATGAACAGACCGGTACAAAACCGTACAAACGAACCTTGACGAGCATAAACGTCGATTTACATCGAAGATAGAAATTCTAATCAAAAGAAACACGTGGTACTTCTACGTTAAAGTATCTGTAAAAACATCGAACGGAACCGTAGTAAACACCGTCGAAGCAGGATTACTTAACCCGGCCTTTTCGCCGTCCACGTTTTATAAATATGCCGAACGAACGTGTGTCCGGTTTATTCACGTGACGTGACCCGAGAATTTTCCCACGTGAGCGCGAGCAATCAATTCGTGGGCGCATTTTCATCCGCGGAACTTTTACGTACAGGCATGCCTCGGGGATCAATTCCGTGGCGATAATCCGTACACCCGCATCAGGGCTGATGCACCCTGTGTGAAAGAAGGGACACGCGAGGCAAGGGTGGGACGTGACGCGTGCCGCGGGTACAATACCGGCAATGGTATTCCTGTCCGGACACCAACGGTGGTCGACCTCGAAACACGTATATCGATCGGTGTTATACTGCCAAACGTGCCATCCCTCGACCACTCACAATTTCCAACAATCACACTTGATTGGAGCATTGGCCAGATGCAGTCTCGTTAATGTTTCATTCGACGGTGGAGCCCCTTATCAGCTGTTCCTAAACTAATTACAACGATGAGATTTGTCGCCCTCGACCCTATCCCTTTGTCCATTAATCTCCTATTTGGGTATACGTGTCGCACGGTGGTCAGTGTTTAATTAGCCTTCTTAGGTTAGCTGCAGGACGATAGGCGGCTGTGGAAAATCGTTCGTTCGTGATCTTTGCGGAGTATTCGTGGAAATCGAATTTCATACTAGATTGTTCTTGACGTTAGAATTTGACTTTCTGGTACTCTGAATACTGTAGTTTGGAACTCTGTTATCTTACAATACCCTGATACTAAACTACCCTCGAACGATCCGTGATACCAAGAGATAAACCTCCCCGAAATACCCCAAAAATTCTCAGTTCCATTACGCAAAATCTCATTGGAATTCCGGCGTGAAGTCTCTTCCCAAATTATCCCGTTATCGTTTTATAACGACAGATAAGGGGTACATTGGGGCGTGGCTTTAACGGTAACGGGAAAACGTGCGCTGTTCATGGTGAAAAAAGCGCCGGAACGTAGGCAGCCAGCGTTGATTCAGGGAGGAACAGTGGAATTACGCAGTCGTCGTGGTCGTGGTCGAATCGAGTTGACGCCAGGATTCCGCAGGCGGCTCACGCGTCGGCCATTCACGTTCTTCGATAATCGCCGGCTCTCTGGTGCGGCGATCCAGCCCCGGGAATCATCGAGGCTTACACGTTTCCGCGCCTACGTTCGTTCGTTTCACAGTGGTGAGACAATTGGGCGCCGTTTACCTGAATTGGATAGCAGTGGATAGGTGCAGAGCCACCTAGGCGACCTAGATATCCCGGGGAAGATCGAAAGATTTCGCTCTAGCTAAGAGATGGAAGGTCGATATGAGGGGGGAAATGGGCATCGCGTGAGAAGCTAGAACGGAATCACGCGATCTCGACGCTATCTGCGAGCCTCTTTGACGACGTCATACAGAGGCACGCTTCTCGCGCTGAATCTTCTCTTTGTGCTCTCAGAGTCGAAGACCAACCACGACGAGCTGATCATTAAGAAAATTAAACGTGTCGCGTGCAAGAGAGAGAGAGTTTACCCTCTGATTCTCTGTTCTGGTGTGAAAGGGAACCGAGGTAAGGATCATTTCGGACGACCAGGGCGAGAGAGAATCACCGTGAAGAAAGTTTCATTTGGTACAGTTTTTCGGCGCAACGAGTCACGCGCGAGTTTTCCCGGCCGGTGGTTCACCAACTTCTCGAGTTTCGCGTAGAGAGAAGCTTGAATAGAATATAGGGACACTTAGCCATCCGGGTTGGGAAAGTTCGAGGTCCGTTATGGTCGAAATTCATTTCGTTCCCCGGGCGAGCGTTTCATTAAAACGCGAGATTGGATCGAAGAGTGTAATACTCTTTCGAACGGCACTGTCAATAGTCAGAGCAAAGGATGGGAGGAGAGAGAGAGAAAGGGAGAACGGTGCGCTACCGTTGTTCGTGAGGAACAACGGGCGAGATTAGGGGAGAAATGGAGAGCAATTCCCGTGGACAGGAGGCAAAGGAGAGGAAAAGACTACCCGGAGGATTCCCGGTTAAGTGGAAATATCTTTCCTTTGCTAGAAACGTTATTCTTCATTAAGAAACTTTGTTGTTCTTCGCTCTCGAAACGCGGAAATCTCTCCCACTCTCTCCCCTTACTTCTTCCCCCTTTTTCCACGACCCTTATCCCTGACCGTGCGTCTATCTTATGAGAACTCGTAGCTCGCGATTATCCTTTCCAATAGTCGTTGAATGCAAGAGACGAGATCCCATTTAGAAAGTTAAAGATGTCGCTTGCGATGCGAGCAAATGGCCCCATCCCTTCGAGAAGCGAGAACCGTATCATAAAAGATTTAGCCCAAGCTCGTCCCCCTAACGTCCTCGTCGTCGAATAAGAAGCGAAGGTCTCTACGGAAGAGGGTGTGCGGAGAATATTGAAAATAACGTGTCCAGGCACACAGGTCTAGGTTAAATGTATTTTTTAACAAGGGCATCGTGAATGGTTCGATTTAATTGTTCAACGGTGTTACACACGCAGAAATAGAGAAAGAAAGAGAAAGAGAGAGAGAGAGAGAGGTAGAAAGTTCCAATATCTTCGTAACAATGAGCCAGAAGTCACAAAGGGCTCGAGATAGTATGATAGTAGGGAGGGCAATACGAGAGAAAAGAGATTAGTCAGAAGTCCGAATACCGTAATGAATAGCGAGAACGAGCCTTTTGTCAAAGCGATTCGCCCCGTTCCGCGTAAGTTCGTTTGTTTCCCTTTCTTCGCTCCTCCCTTTCCATTTTCCGCCGTCTTTGCGCCGCGCCTCTCGAACCAGAAACCCTCTCGCGATTAACCGTTCGCTACCGAATGCGAGAAACCGTGCTCCAGTTTCGACTTACAGAAGACTCCCGGTTGCAGAAGTCGCTCGTTCAGGCAAACCGCTATTCGCTCTATCACGAATGAAAAAAAAAAGAAAACTCAGTCCTCACCCTGGACCCTCCTCGCGAAGATTCGAAGTAGGGACAGAATACATAGGAATCGAGGGACAGGATACGAACAACCTCGTTTTCCCTCGCTACGATCGCGCCCCTTCGTGAAACTGCCTGCTCTTGTATATTCGAATGGACCTTGGGATAGAGAACAACCTGGCGCTCATGCAATATGGATCGAAATGTAGATTAAACGCGTATCGCTGCTGGAAAGAGAGAAAAAAAGGACCTTTC